GCTGGCGTGTGCCTGCGTCACTGGTGACACCGCAGAGGCCATGCGGTCCCCACTCCTGCCTGCCCCCACGCTATCCTGGATCCCACCATGTGCTCCTGCTCTCCTGGCCCAAGGACTTGTTGGCTGCAGAAGTAAAATTCCCCGCTGGGACACATAGCCCAGGGGATGGGGGCCGTAGCCAAGGTTTGGCCGGTGTTAGCCACCCTGCACTGCTTGCTCAGGCCTTGGGCTTGCCTCTCCTCTCTCCTATGGGCCCTCCATCAGCAAAAAAAGATGTGAGCTTAAAGCTACATAAGCCAACAAATCACCTATTTCAGCAGCGGCAGCCGGCCCCCCTGCCATGTCCGGGACTTGGAGGGGGTACTGAAGTTGGTGCTTTCGAACCTGTGCCTTCCCTGGCTGCTTCAGGGCCAGGAACGAAGCCTGCATCGTCTTGGGTCTTTCTGAAAGCTGCCCCCTCTCTTGGGATGGGAGGGGTGCTTAAAGACGGCATGGGTGGCCCATGGTGGTAGGAGTTAAGTACCACAAGGATTTTTATTTTTTTTTCTATTTAAACCACTGTGTGCTTCTCCAGGTGGGGGGTTTGGTTTGGGGGGGGTATATTTTGGAGAGGTGTTTGCAACGTGCAGCCACCTGACGTGCAGTCCCCTGGCCAAGAGCCACCTTGGCCGGAGGGTTTGCAGGCAGGGAGCTGGGACAGCGCGTGAGCACCGTGGGCAGCCGCTAGCATCGCCTACCCCTCGGCTCCGCTGGAGCCCCACCGGCTGCCGGCCCCTTCCTGGAGCTGGGGTGGCCTCATGGGGTCCAAACTTTTTTGTTTTCCCAGCGGCACCATTTAAACATAAATTGCCCAAGCTCTCTGGAGCCTTCTCGCTGCCCATCCTTGAGCCAAAACTGAAGCCGGCACATCGTTTCCCCAAACCAGCCATCTTCCCCCAAAGCTGGGGCAGACCCAAGGGATGTGGCTCCCCAGGGCCGGTGGGTCTTTCCCCCTTGGTGGGACTTGTGATGCCGGTGAGACCACGTGGGTTCACGCCAAATATACTTGAAAGCAGAGCTGGAGTTTCTCGTGCATGAGGCTCTGACTCGACGCACAGAAATCCCAAGTAGGTACCCGGCCTGTTTGCTCCCACTGAGCTCGGGATGGGGAGGTGGTTTTCCATCACCCGACGGATCGGCCCTTTCAACGATCATGCCCTTCTGCGGCCAGCTAAGATGCACGGAGCTTTTATTTTTAAATGCACATCTATACAAGTGAGGCCGATGAGGAGCATTGCAATAAACACTGCGTTTTATTGGCATCCAGCTTCCTAGAAATGGATTTGGGGTTTTCCAGTTTCCCACCGTGGCTCTGCCCTCCGCGTGGGGATGGGGAGGGTTCACCTCCAAGTCCCCTTGTACAAACAGCCTGAAACCAGCCCTGCTGCCCCAGCAGTGCCATTACCCCGTTAGAGTCCCTGTGGGCAGAAATAAAGTCAAGAGGTGTTTTTAGGTAAGCGATCAGCTTTCTAAAGACCTTTTATAATAAATAAAGCCATCAAGTGTGTCTCCTGTTGGGCTACAGAGCAGAAACTATAAAAGGGACCGGAGCTGTCATGGGCTTGTGCTCCCCAGGGTTTTGTACCTTGTCCATCGCTGTGGGCCACTCCACATCCATGCACGCAGGCTGAGAGGTGTCCACGGGCTTCCCCTGCCCACCGTGGGGCCATGCCACGAGGACTGGCACTTGGATGCTGTGAGCAGTGCCGTAGCCCCGCCAGACACGCAGGATCAAAGGCAGGGAGGGAGGACTGCAGGGCTGGGAAAAATCCCCATTTCTGGAGCGGGCTCTGGGGAGTGATGCTCCAGTGGCCTGTCCCAGGCTCTGTCTTGCCCTGAGCGCAGTAGCCGGGATCAGCACAGAACAGAGGAAGCAAGCACTGATGCTGGGACAAACGATGGGAATTGTTTTTTTTTCCCTGGTATTCAGTGCAGCACTAACTCACTACCACATGCAGCTTTAAAACCAGCTTGATTTGTCTCTTCCAGCTCAGAGCACTGCATTAGATGGTTACAAGCACTCGGAGGTTAAATTTGCCCATTCACTGGCAAGTCCAAGCCTCCCACAGCTCAGCCCCTGCCTAGATGCCACAGCAAGGAAAAAACGTGGTCTGTGCCGTAGCTCATGCCCGAGATGTGCGTTTCTGGGTCTGAGCCGTGCTCGGCTGCAGCTGGAGAGTGCGAGGTCTGACTCTGCTCCCCCGAGGCTGGGGTCAGGGGTGTCCCGTGGGAGGCAGGGCCCTGCCCCAGTACACCGTCGGGCACCAGGGAGGATGGGGCATTTGCACTGGAGCTGGGATGCGTGGTCCTCACACTGGTGTAACTCCAGGACACGACACAAGGTGCGAGCAGGATCGCATCCGTCAGCTGGAGGTGCAGCCTTGCTGAAGTCGGGACACCCAGGGGCTCCTGGCCAGCATGGGGATGGGGCGATTCGGCTGCCAGCCCGGGCAGCACAGCCTGGACTGGGTGCGCATCCCCGGCAAGATGCTGCTGTGGGGCCCATAAAGCTGCCCTGGGACTGGTTTGGGCAAGAAGCGCCTCTCTGCCCTTGCAGCTGCTTTTTGGGGCTGCCTTCAAAGCCTGGCAGCAAGCGTTGGGCCCCAGCTGCCTCCCCTTCCCCATCACCCTCGCCCCGCGCTGGAGGTCCCAGCTCCCCAGAGGAGATGCTGTCCTTCCCCTGGCACAGGGACAGAGGCAGCGGGTTTGACACCAGCTCTGCTCCGAGCTGGGGCTGCCCAGCGGTGACACTGGGACCAGAGCCACCTGTTTCCCAGTAAAAGATAGAGCAAGGTGGAGGGGCTGCATCCCCACCAGCCCGGTGAGGGCAGGTGGAGCATCACGAACTGCAGGTCTGCAGCTGCGTTCACTCCTCCATGCTCTCCTGCATGCCTTTTTCCTCTTGAAAAGCCTCAGCTTGCAGATAC